TATTATTATTATTATTACTATCACTATTAGCGGAGCTCTCGCGCGCGAAGCGCGCCAGCGCAGCACCATGGGTAAGAAAATGAAGTAATCTACCCATCCGAGAAAATTTGGTAACCACGTGACCGTACACCGCCCGCCCGCCCGCCCGCCCGCCCGCCCGAGAGACCGTCCGTCCGCACCACAGGCATATCAATGTAAAATAACTCAATCAACAGATATGGCAACCCAAATGTAACTCGAGGTTATTTTGGCGGGAAATCGCATAGCCATCGGCGTCTTGTAAAGCAGAGACAACAAAAGAGTCAATAAAGACTAAAACGGAAAGCGGAAATTGTCTCTGTACCCGTGTTGTCTAAAGTATTTAACTTAGATTAATTGTCAGCTCCACAAATTTGGAATATAGAGCAAAAGAAAGACCGAGAAAATGAGAAAGTGGGCGGCAGGCCAGCGAAGCTCAACGAGAAAAAGGGCGAGAGGGATTTAGAGCGAGAGATGAAAAACGGAAGGAGACATTTTTTTGTTGGAAGGACAACATGGAAATTTTGTGTAGAGGCGGTGACTGAAATGAGAAATGCTAGCGGCCACCAATGCAAGGTGAAAATGAGCGGCAGTGAAAAAAAGTGAACGGGAACACGTACGACATTTCCTCCATAAAACGTGTAACTAAGAAGTTTCTGGAAGTTTCACGTTGTAGTCGTGCAAAACAACGGCAAAGAAATGTACAAAAAAAGTGTGCTGCACGTGCAAAGTTGTTTTTGCTAATTAGACCTATTGTTGTTTTTCACCGGTTTTCCGGCGTTGCATGCCTTCCCCGCTTAGCATTACACGATTTTATATTTTGTTTGAACAAACTATAAATATTATCGAGAGCTTCGCTTTTAGCCCTGGCTAAATCTGTACATTATTATTATTTTCATATACAGTTGAACCTCTCCATAACGGCCACCTTGGTGACAGAGGGAAGTGTCCGTTATATCGCGGTAGCTGTTGGAGAGAGGTTTAAACACTTCAGTCAATGTATGAATTATTTGACCGCCGGGACAAAAAAAAGTGACTATTGCACAGGCGGCCCAGACGTAGTATGTGTTACTGAATGAATATATTAATGTTCACATGGACAAATTAATGCGATGAGTCGTCGAAACTCCCATGGACTAAAATAGTCCAAAAGTCAAAATTTAACAAAACAAAGCTAAGATACCTTTAACTGAACTTATTCTTGTCTTTCCTGGCCGGTTTAAGTGGCATTTTGTTGAGTTTTGCAATTGTAGGTACTATCCACTAAAGAAGAATTAAAGGCTGGCTACAAAACAAACAGACCATCTCCACGCGCCTTCACACGAAGCGCTATAAATTCGAGAATAATCGACGAATCCGCTCCAAATAACCATCGACTAATCTGCAGGTAACGTGTTCTCCTGCTTCTGGCTCGCTTGCTCCACAAAACCCATCGCAACTGCACAATAATTGATCGCTCATCAACAACCACTGTTGATCTTTACGCTTCGATATGACCGCAAACGACCAGGTTTAATACGCGACGTGAATATTCAAGCTTAGCGACCGCGTTCGCGCAGCAATGCAGCACTTGCTATGGGAGGGATGGTACTATTGCTTCTAGGTCAATCGACTGACCGAAGGTTCGCTGCGTTAGTTTTGACCAGAAAACAAAAGGCGATCGCGGGACCGTCCGTAAGTTTTCAACAGGGCAGCCCTGGTTTTCAGGTTCGAATTCTTCTAACGTTCGCTGTCTCAGCTGGTGTCACATTGTTCGTCCAGCCGCTTGCATAGGTTCTTGACTCTACCAGACTTATTGGCTTAGATTAACAACGTCTTACTCCATAATATGTTGTCCAAACTGGTGAAGGAGGACGAGAATTTTCCGCCCAGGAAAAAGGCAAAATCTGGCCCCCGCTATGCAGCTGAATAGAAGATACAGCCGAAGATATCGTAAAGTAAAATTTATGTGCGCGATATCTTTTATTATTATTATTATTATTCTCAAAACTCAGGGGCACCCAACGATGATTTCCCCCTAAATGCATTGAAAACACATTTAAGGCTGTCCAGAGTACTTTTGATCGAAAAATGCATTCTAAACAGCGCTTACATAAATTTAGTCAGGAGGGCTAAAAGCGAAGCTAATGATTTATAGTTTGCTCATACTAAATATAAAATATGTCGTGTAATGCTAAGCGGAGAAGGCAACGAGTCAGGGCCACGCAACGACTGTTTCCTCAAATACTTTCAATTGAAAACACTTTTGTAGCTATTCATAAAGTACTTTTAGCTCTATAGAAATGCATTCTAAGTGGCGCTATAAAACTTGCATCTCAGTGTTCGGCCATTCTAGAGGAACTTGAGTCTTTTCGAAATTACGAGGAATTCAGAATTATTTTCCCGAAAATTTTAGATGCAATTTAACGTATTACGAAGGATAAGAAGGACTAAGATAAGAAGGATTACGAAGGATTAAGAAGGAGATAATTTTTCACATTTTTGAATCCGAAAATTTTAGGATTCCATTTTACTCTCTACGAAAAATAGCCTAACCCGATGAGTGAAATGTGAAAAATTAAAAGTTGGATGCCCTTGACCAGAACTGTGAAAAACAACAATAGGTCTAATTGCAGCACACTTTCTTGTACATTTCCTTGCCGTCGATTTGCATGACTGCAACGCGAAACGTCCAGAAAACCTCCTGGTTTTCACTTTTTATGGAGAAAATGTGGTACATGTTCTTGTTCACTTTTTCCACTGCCGCTCATTTTTTTAGCTCCGCTGTAAGATTCGTATCTGTTCGGTGCTCCTAGGACAAATTGGATCTTTTTAAAAATTACAAGGGCTTCAATATTATTTTCCCGATTGATTGACCTAGAAGCAATAGAACCCTCCCATAGCAAGTGCTGTATTGTTGCGCGAACGCGGTCGCTAAGCTTGAATATTCACGTCGCGTATTAAACCTGGTCGTTTGCGGTCATATCGAAGCGTAAAGATCAACAGTGGTTGTTGATGAGCGATCAATTATTGTGCAGTTGCGATGGGTTTTGTGGAGAAAGCGAGCCAGAAGCAGGAGCACACGTTACCTGCAGATTAGCCGATGGTTATTTGGAGCGGATTCGTCGATTATTCTCGAATTTATAGCGCTTCGTGTGAAGGCGCGTGGAGATGGTCTGTTTGTTTGTAGCCAGCCTTTAATTCTTCTTTAGTGGATAGTACCTACAATTGAAAAACTCAACAAAATGCCACTTTGACCGGCCAGAAAAGACAAGGATACGTTCAGTTAAAGGTATCTTAGCTTTGTTTTGTTAAATTTTGACTTTTGGACTATTTTAGTCCATGGGAGTTTCGACGACTCATCGCATTAATTTGTCCATGTGAATATTAATATATTCATTCAGTGACACATACTACGTCTGGGCCGCCTGTGACTATTGTAGAGATGTGGCCGTTGTTGCCCCCGCAGGGATTTTGCGCAGAGGCGAAATCACGAGGAGGCACCCTAGTAACTCGCACGTATATTAAGGACAGTACTTACGGTTCAAATATACAGTCAGTATACTAGAAAAAATCTCGATTTGCTCGAACAGGGGCCGCGAGGAATCGGTAGGTAATGATGACGTTTCTATTGTTTGCGCCCGCAAGTACCAAAATGGTTAGGATGACGTAAAAAGAGAAAATTCCGAAGGGACCGCTCAGGTAGATTTGTGACATTTATTGAGCAGTCATACTTGGATACTCTTTTGCGTTACGCAGTGACATTCTGTGGAGCAGTTGTTTTGAAAGTTATGGGCCAAAAGACACTCGTTAAGCGCAGATGAGGTTATAAGGTGCGTTTAACTGTGTATATATAAACACTTTGAACCTTGCCAGACACTCTTTCTCTCTCTTTGACCGGAATAAGATAATAACAAGGAAGACGAGTGAACAACGGCTAGCTTATCACTAGCAGATTGATGGACAATTACATGAATTCGCCGACAATCAAATTCTGTGCTGACTTTTTCCCTGCTCACGGATGTCCTTGCGTTATAAAGTTTCAAGTAAGACTAGAATGCGCGAGCGTGAATCGATCAAACGTCCTTATAATTTCTAAGCCTTAGTTTCCGGCAAATAAAATGAACTGAATGTAAAAAGTGAAAGAGAAGTAGCGAAAAATTCAACTTCTAATTAAATCTTTTCGTATGGTTTAGAATAAACTTTTCTCGAAACTGAGAATGTTTTGATCAAAGCTGTGTAAATCGAGCTGAAACTGTGCATGGAACCTTGCGTTTCCTGTATTTATCTCACCTATTGTATGGAATATGTGTGAAAATCTTCATTATGAATCGGTATACTTCAAAGAGCTACACAACCAGCAAGAATACTATTGACCGACAATATACAGAACGGGGGCAGCTGTAGTGTCAACTATTACTAGTCAATCTCAAGTAGCGCAAATAAAACGCTGGAATTGATTAGGCGTATTGCATTTCCTTTGAATTGATTTCCTATTTCATTTACCTTGTCATTAACTGCGCTCACATTGTGGCTGGCGCCACCTAAAATGTACTTCAATTTGTATAGGATTTATTGGAGACGAATCAGATTGTGGAAATGAAAACATTTTAAGGCATCCTACTGACGGACAGTTATGATATGACTTGTATATATTTCCACACAGTAACAACAATTTTGCCATCTGTCCCTTTCGACCTTTCGAGTAATTAAAGATAACTTATAATCTTAGTATCTCATTTTCGTAAATTCTATGCATGTGCTTACCCGTTTTATTTCTTAGTAGGCATTCTTTTTTTTATAATAGTTGGTATGATATCTAACCAACATTTTACCAAATTAAGAAAATATAGATATAGATGCAGGCTTTATCAGTCAGGGACTATAACACCCCATATTTTTTAGTTTCAATGTATCTTAAGATCAATATTAAACTACAAGGTTTGTAGTTACGTTCAGCACAATTACACATGAATTGCAGATCATTTCACCGCATGATGTGGATGTTGACTATATCATTGTCCTTTTTGTTTAATAGAGATGGAACATCCAGAATGACTTGTTTACAAGATCAGGTCGAGCTTCTTTCAAATGAGGTATAACTCCTAATTTTGCTGATCCCAAATTTGCCTTGAACTGTCGTGGTCAAATGACATGTTTTTCTAATTCTAATCCATTTCTTAAAATATGGTATTAGGTCAGATATAGCCTCCTTTAGGTTGTGCATTCTTCCCAATCTTTGATCGGAATGATTAGGTAGCAAGCCTATTCAGCCTTTTTTTTTATGCAGTTTGTTCAATTTTTACTCCAAAACCTGGGTGTCCACAACATACCCTAATTTCCACTTTGCTTAAACCCTGGGCTGAGTTGCTCAAAGCATGGTTAGCTTTAACCATTGGTTAAGCAGTATCAAAACCAATACGTTGTCAAGGTACTAAACGCTGGTCAACGCTAACCATGCTTCGAGCAACTGGGCCGTGGTGAGGAAGTCACGAGGGCGTCCGTGTTTGAAAGGAGTCGCTAGAGTAGGTACACGTATTCTTTAGCCACACAATTTTAACACTTCGGTAAGACTAGCTACGAAGTCGTGTTGAGAATAATATTAATTTTTCAGTGTCTTTAATGTTGTAATATATATAGGTTTTTCCTGATAATTTCATGCGGCGTGAAGTACAAGCTTTTGTTGTCAACTGCACATTCGAGGATGAAGGATGCCAGTGGAAAGGGGAAGTCAGACACTTGGAGGTAATTGATTTGGGTGAATAAATGCTTATTTCATCTCTGATGTGCCGTACAGATAACAAGAAAATGGCGTATAAAGACAGTGGCGGATCCAGGGGGGCGGGGGGCCCAGGCTCCCTCTCATTTGTAGACCCAGTTGAGGTCCGACGGGCCGAAAACAAAAAAAATTTGAAACCACCCCCCCCCCCCTTATATGAAGGTCTGGACCCGCAACTGAAAGATTACGTTTTATTACCAGAGTGAAAGTCATGCTGCATCTGAAACGAATGTTTTGTATACAAAATACGTACCTGCCAGCGAAGTATGATATGACATTAGGTTTGGACTGTTTTTTTTTTCCTTCACGGTTATGCTTGGATGCGCTTGTACATAGATATTTGAGTGTGGGGTTGACGTTTCAAGTCTTGCCAGGCTTTACTTTAAACATAAATCACCTTTATACACAAATCTTCCTCGTTCTGAGTGTCACTATCTGTCATGATCAGTTGGTTTCCGGCATCAGCAATAATGAAGAGTTCTACACACTAGCCTGCATAACAGGCGTTATAATGAGGGTGCTCAGGCGTCTGTTGTGCGACCTATCTTTGGAAATACTAAGTGGCCATTTAAAAAGGTGTACTCACTTGATTGGCTTTGTACTTTTGCTCTAATCGAGTAATTTTACCTTTAAGTATTTTACATGCAACCTGGGCCGGCTACTGATAATTAGTATTCGGTTGTTTATGAGTGAGTTACTCGTGCGAGTGTCTTCTGTATCTTACAGAGTCACACAAGCAGCTGTACGTTTGTCAAAATCCCCTGTGTGCATCCTGAGTGTGGCATGTTGGTGAAAACAGGTGATCTTCCAGACCACTTAGAAAACGATTGCAAGTGTAGACAGGAAATCTGTGAATTCTGTAAACAAAGTATCAGTCTGAACAAAATGAAGGTAAAGTGACTCTTCTTTATATGTCTTAATCACTTACGAAAAGAAGCTGCTCACTCATATTTCCCTTCCATACCTCATCGCATTGACAATATTAATTATTGTGATCATCAATAAGGGTTCAGAGGAGCTTTGAGCCAGGCCCCAGTTGTTCAAAACGGTGGTTAACCAGGGACCGGGGAGACCACTTTAAAGTGCAGAGCTTGCGGGGCTAAAAAAACTCTGGCCAGGCAAAACAAACATTATTAGCTGTCACGGTTCCTCGAGTTTTCATGCATTGAGATGCCATCATATTTCCAACTCCATTAATAAATAAAACATAGTCGTTTACTCTGAGACATTTACTTTTGGAAGTTGCCAAAGTTTCTCTCCAGGTTCTCCTTGCGAGTACAACAAACTCCTTTGCGACGTCAGCTAAACGGAGGCTGCTTTTTGCTTGTGGCAATTCCATTATGTTTATGTTTATGATTGCGATAATGATGATGATGGCGATGATGATGATTATTACTACATGTATTATTATTACTATTATTATTATTATTATTATTATTATTATTATTATTATTATTATAACAAAGTTGTCAAATCTGATTGGCTATCAACTGCCCTGATTTCAGCCTTAATTGGACAGTTTAATAGGACAGTACGCGCCATCACGCACGCGCTTAAATGGCTTTTTTTTTCACTGCTAGCAAAACAAAATTTCGAATTTCTTGTGTTTTGATTTAAAAATAGCCTATTATATCACAAATTTTGTTAAAGCTATTATTAATTGGTAACAGAACTTCGTGTCTTCCAATTCGGTCTGTAATCATACTCGTGATTAAACAAATCGGGCTCCTGCTAGGCGGTCGTCCGATTTTGTTAATCACTCGTATGATTACAGACCGAATTGGACTCCACTTAGTCCTGTTACCATTACTTATTTTACTATTATTATACAGGTACACCATGATAAAGAGTGCCCGGCATATCCCGTTTTATGCAGAAAATGCAACAAAGATGAAATTCCACGTGCAAAGGTAATCATTTTGATATACTGCGAGCAATCTCTCTCTTTCTCCAGCTTTAGTAAGAGGTGTGCACGCGCGGGCGAACGTAGACGCGAGAAGCGAGGGCAGCAGCCCGCGAAGAAAAAGGGAGATTGCCCGCATAGCCAGAGCAAATGGAATATGCGTTGGCGTCACAACGCAAAATACGATTGGCTGATGCGTGAAGCGTTGACAACAAACTGTCAATAATCGAAACCGCTGACAAGATAATGATGATGGTTAAGTACTGCAGGAATGTTTATCACGTTTCCCGAAAATGGAAACATTAGATACAGCAGAGAGGAGCATTACAATGTCCCATATTGGGACGTGAAGTGATCGCAATTTTAAATGCTCAAAGCCTCTGTCGAGGAACGCTTTAGTTCCAAAACTACAGTAGCCTGCGTAGAAAGCGTTTCCAGTCGAGTACAGTCTTGCTTTTGAACTTGTTATAGAAAGTCGCTTAGACTGGAAGACTTTAGACTGTTTGTAATTAGCTAAGAACAAAGTAATTACCGACAGATGAACCAAGAGGACATCGCAGAATATTATACAGTCGACTCCCGATAACTCGAACCTTCAAGGGAAATCGAAAAAAGGTTCGAGTTATCGGGAGTTCGAAGAAAATAGCCGAGAGGAAGGTAGAAAACAGTTTTTACTGCACAGTGAACATTTTAGTCACATTTAATTGTAGAAATGTCAAGTGAAAATTAAAAGATACTTCTAGATTATAAATCAGAACGTAGCGTAACAAAACATAGCCTAAGTGGAGCATGCGTTTTACTGTTTTGGAAAGAAAAGCTGCTTCACGTTAGCCTGTGGCAATCAACATCAGCCTCCACTAGTAAACTATACTCCTGCAACACGTCAATAGGAAATCCAAAATTCAATGTCTCGGACGCCAGTAGACGGCTTTTTTCCCCACTTTTTAAGGACTTAAAACATGGTTCGAGTTATCGAGGGTAAAATTATGTAGAAAATTACCTGAGGGGAAACGAAGTTTGGTTCGAGTTAGCGGGAGTTCGAGTTACCGAGGGTAAAATCACAGTGAATGTATGACGGAAATCCAGGAGAAATCGATTTTGGTTCGAGTTAGCGCGAGGTTCGAGTTAGCGAGGGTTCGAGTTATCGGGAGTCGACTGTAGCTCATAGTCCAAAGATTCGCTTATCTAAAGAAGAAATATCGGCGCCCAGTGAATGATCTTGACTGACTTACAACGGAATTCTCCAGAGTTGGTTTAGCTTCAGTTAAGCTACAATTAGGATATGAAAAACACTATCTCGTGAGAATTCAACATTCCGCAAACAACAAGAGAGCTAGGCCTCGGCCCCTTTAGCCTGCGAGCAAGCTCTCCGGGGCGCTCTGGCGGCGGGCCCAGGAGAGCTTGCTCGCAGGCTAAGGCTTCTTTGACGATCCCATTCAAATCACGAACCACAGGAAATGACTTATCAATATGCGAGAAACAGACCAGCTCCATGGCCTCAAAGTACAATACAATACAATACAATACTTTATTGACACTGCCCTGATAGGGCTTTTCAGTGACAATACGAGACAAATAAGTTAAAAAGTACAGTAAAAGCATGCCTGTTCAAAAGTTATGTGTATAATAAAACACTACCTCTTCGTGCTATACAAAAGTTAAAAATATTATTAAATACTATCAGTCCATTCGATGTCGAATATTTTAGCATTTCTGTATTATTCTGAACTTTTCTGTTTATACACAGTGGAACCCCGCTTTCTGGCTACCTCGGTAATACGGTCACCCCGTTATTACGGCCACTTTTTTTGGCCGCCCGGTTGAACGACCATACATTTTTTGGTGGGAAAAAGCAAAAAACAAAAAAAAACCTCGTTAATATGGTCACCTGTTAATACGGCCAATTTTTTTGGCCCATTAGTGACCGTATTAACGGGGTTCCACTGTATAAAAAATACTTCAGGGAAAAAGCGCCCTTTTCGTATTTGCGCGCACGATATGCACGAGTTGTTGACATGTTAGAAATCGAAGGAGTGAGTTCAGTGTGTTATTTATCAATATCAACTGAGCCTAAGGTGAATAATCGTTAAACATGATGTAATCTCCGACTAATTAGAACGCGTGAATCTCTATAATTACCTGAGTGATTATCCTAACTGCATATATTTCTTGTATTTATGCTCCTTCTGATTTAACAGCCTTGAAATTTGGATCGCCTAAGGAAGAGGGGATAACCCAGAGCTTTAGTGCCAAAGGGGGGAGGCCTTTGCTAGCAAGGAATTTTCGATTAACTCTCTTCTATTGTCGTTTCAGCTGTCGGATCATCAGGATCCTCTTGTAGGAGACTGTGATGCAGTGCAGGGGCCATGTCCATTTGCACAGATTGGTTGCGCTAAAACCGAGGTACAGATAGAATTCTCTTCTAACTCACTATTTTTAACTTGTGGATTACGCGTAGCGTAAGGAACAAGTTGTTTGTGAGATTAAGATTCACGTTTACGCTAAAAGGCAGACGTGAATTTGTACCATGTAACCAAGTTTCCCCCTTATTTTCCGTTTACTCTACACAAAAATAAGTAGTTTTATGCCAGTTTTAACCATAGGAAAAATGTTCTGCTTTGACCGTGAAAACCTTGCTTGTTTTCGTCGAATACATCTTTCAATTCTTCGTAAATAAAACTTTACCAGCTTCAAACAGCGTCCACCGGCAATATTTCATGGCCAAAAAAAGTTAAATATCATAATGCTTTTAATCTTAGTTGTCGTGGCGCAATAGATAACGCGTTACCCTTTCACGCCTAAGGTCTAGGGTTCGACTCCCGCTGAAAAAATGTTTTCTTGGCCGTTTTGTTTTGTTTTTTAAATAAACATATTTTCATTTTTTTAGCAGACTTAAATTGCAAGTTAATTATCAGCTTTCATTTCCAAAATAATAATTTTAATAATAATTAATTATTAATCCACAAGTTAGCCATAGGCACCCTTTGATTAGTATTGTTGGCTAGTCTCTAGATGAATAAAACTACTGAACACTGGAAATCCTACTGACGATTCCTACTCTTTAGGCAAATTTTGTACCCCCAGAATGGTACAAGAGACTAGGAGGGGACAGAGAGGTGCAAACTTGGATTTTATGTATAAAGTTTTTAGTCCGTCCTCTTGGTCTTATGTTATGGCTAAACTTTACACTGCTTTTGATATTTTCCACACGTTTTGAAAAAAGAAAAAAAATAACAGAAAAAATAATTGCTTTTTGCTTAAAAATGGCCTCTAAATCATACCTCGAATCAAATTATATATCTTTACAATGGCGACCCATAAAAATGTTAAGATGTGTGAATGAATCAATCAACCGAGCTACGAAGAGATTCGTGGTCGTCTTTAATTCTGCCTTTTTCTAGGCCTGTTGTGCTACAGACGAACTCGTGATGATCTTAGCACTCTGCCAGTTTCAAATTTGACACGCTAAGTGAAAACCAAAGAACCCCCCCAAAAAAATAAAAAATAATAATAATAATAATAATAACAATAATAACAATAACAATAATAATAATAATAACTACTACTACTACTACTACCACTACCACTACCACTACCACTACCACTACCACTACCACTACCACTACCACTACCGCTAGTGCTAGCGCTTCTACTACTACTACTACTACTACTACTACTAATAGACCATTACCAGCAAGAAGACTGAGAGGATGGGACAGAAGTTCAGTTTCTATTTTTGTACACCATGTGGTGAAATATCCGGTAAAATGTAACTATTTGCCCGCTGATATTTCGGTCGAAACTGAACAAACCTTTCACGAGGGCTTCTGACTTGTTGGTCGGGTGATTTTCACGGCCCTCATTAGGTTTTCTATTAGAAAATTAGATCCGTGTCCTACTTTCCTACGCACTGTAAAGAGAGAATGATCTCATTCTCTCTTCGTTCTGTGTGATGTTTAGATTCGCGGTGCACTTTTCAACCACCACGATATTAAAAATACGATATTTCTTTATGTATTTGCATGTTATTAACTAACAAAAATACTGATGCCTTGTGGAATATGCCCTGTTCCTCTTAAGCCTGGTTTCCATATGGTCGCTTTGCAAAGTTCAGCGATCTCAGCGATCTCAGCGATCATAGCGATCGTATGGAAACCACTTTCCAGCGATCGCAGCTACAACGGTCGCTGAGATAGAAAAAGTTCTGTCAGCGACCGTTGTTGCTGCGATCGCTGGAGGGTGGTTTCCATATGATCGCTGCTATCGCTATCGCTATCTTTGCCAACGATTGCAGCGATCGTAGCGATCATGTGGAAAACGGGCTTTAAGTATTCGTAAACATGTGTCGAAATAGATTTTTACAATTTCTAAATTTACTGTAATATTTCGTTTACGTTATATGATAGGTTCTCAACCACGTGCAAAAGAAAGAACATCTAGAGAAAGAAAACGCTTACCATACCACTTTGCTACTTCATCATGGTCTTAGGATGGGTCGAGAAATGGAAGCAGCTTTGACTCGTGATCCAAGAATCTGGTCGAGAAGACCACATATCTTCACAAACTATGATGGCATCATCTCTGACATACTTGCTCAAATCCAAACCGGTGCAGCAGAAAACAGGGATTTACGAGAAAAATTACGAGAGCACAGTGAACGAATCACCTCCCTGGAGAGAAACGTGGCCTCAGGGAGTCTTTTGGCAGCAACTGCATCTGCTCAAGTGTCTGGTGACTCAGCTAGCAGTGTACCGAACAACGAGATTACACGTAGGGTAGACAATCTTGAGAATAAAGCCGCTGACCACGAGGTGCTGTTGGTTGAAAGTAATCGTTCAATCGAGCAGGCAAATCGAGATGTGGGTAATGTAAGGCGACTAGTTGACGCTGTGCAAGAGACCGCGAGGAGGGTAGAAAGAAGGATTGAGTCTATTGAGCACACACTGGCTCTTAGAAACGTTACCTTGGCAGATTTAGAGGAATACATCAGGCAACAGGAGTTTTCAAGCCACGATGGCCAGTTATTATGGAAAATAACTGAATTTGCACGTAGAAGAAACGAGGCAGTCAGCGGTCAACAAGTATCATTCTATAGTCCGTGCTTCTACACAAGTCGCTATGGATACAAGATGTGCGCCCGCATTTACTTAAACGGAGATGGCATGGGCCGAGGAACACACATCTCTGTGTTCTTTGTTGTCATGCGCGGTCAGTATGATGCGTTGCTCCGTTGGCCTTTCAGACAGAAGGTCACATTCATGTTGATGGATCAAGATAATGTTGAACACGTGATTGATGCCTTCAGACCTGATCCCAACAGCTCTTCTTTTCAGAGACCGAGGAGAGAAACAAACATTGCAAGTGGGTGTCCCATGTTCTGCTCGCTCTCTGAACTTAACAACCACGCTTATGTTCGGGACGACACCCTGTTTCTAAAAATTATCGTGGATACATCAGATTTGTAGCCGTCGCGAATTCGAGAGTGGACCAATTGTGGAAAGGCTTTGGTCAGGTCGGTTCAAATGGGTTGAGCCGCTATTGGTTAACATGTATACCAGTACTACCTGTTCATGGTCGGACTGTCGGCGACTAAACTGGCTCCTCCACCGGTTACACCCGGTGAGAAGGGTGAGTGGACACCCCTCAGGATTAAAAACAAGACCTGTTAAAGGGCGGCGAGTCCCCATGTGTGGCAAAGCCGGCCATCCACTAACATTATCATATCCGGAGAACTGGATTAAAGCAATTTCTCGGCATTATTGATTACAAAGAACCACAATGTGGTCGCCTGCGCGGCAGTAGTCCCTTTCCGTCACTTTACACTCCTGGAGAGTTGCGTGACACAGGGGCGTAACGTGACAGCAGAAAAACATGGCTGCATAAAGGTACGGAAAAACGGGCGAACAAAAAAAAAGAAAAAAGAAACGTGCAACTTGTATTACAACGTAACATTACTGCAAAACGAGTCGATTAACGATGTTGCGCGTTTTGCCACCCACATCAAACCTGTCTTGAAACAAATCAGGTTTGTAGCAGGTTTGATGTGGGTGGTAAAACGCGCAACATCGCTATTCAATTCGTTTCGCAGCAATGGTGCAAGACAAGTCGCATGTTTTTTTGTTGCCCGTTTTTCCGCCAAATGATGGTGATAGCGACGACGACGATGAAAATGAGTAATACAAATTTTCCGTTTGATTAAAGTAGGTTATTTTCACCATGGTATCATTTCACTACAACCTCCAGGATTCATTTCGTGTTTGTTGTAATTTTTAAAGCAAACGCCTTTATACCAGAAGGAAACCCTGAAAGAATCTGATAGTTGCAGTCAAATGGCGTTATCGTGCAAACGGGTTTTTGAATTTTTTGTGCTTTATAAAATTAGTGTTTCTATTTAAATTGCAGCTGATATTTACGGTTTTTTGTGCGGGGAGAGGGGGAGGAGGTAAGAAGGAAATGGTAAACACTCCTCTAGCATGGCTGTGCTATCAGCCAAACGATACTGTTTTACTCTTTAAAGGTTTTGTTCTAGTGTTCACAATATAAACGCAGAAGTTAATTAACTTCATCATAGCCACATGTAATTAACCAAAGGATACCATTAGGGCTTGTTTTAATGCTCTTTAAATAGGAAGAAATAATTCGCTGATTAGAAGTCGAAATAATCTTCGTTAATAAAAAATTTAGATTTAGTTTGCGTTGTTTGTCTTGGCAGTGACTGGGGTTACTTTGTGGGTGGCTCCAGTAAAAATGTTATATAGAGTGTTTCCACATGACGTCACGGCGGCCATATTGGTGTCCCAAAACAATGAAACGGCGGCCATGATGGTGTCCCAACCCAATCCTATGGGAGTTGAACTCTTTTCTTATGCAAACGCTTTCTTTTGTTCCTATAAATTTACATAGATGCTGGCCACGTGAGTGAAAATACTCTATAGTTGGTACATGTAGAGAATTTACAGGAACATGTTTTAATTTCTATTCTCACTGGGAGCCGGCACGCGCAAGCGCTCCCTATGCCCTTGGGACCTGTGCATTTAAATTCCAGCGCATCTGTGGATTCGCGGGGGAACTCGTTGTGCATATATTTCTTAGTTTTGTATATATTGACCTGTTTTCATGCTGTTTATCGCTCTTTTCGTTAAAACGGACACACCAGACACCTAGTTTGTCGCCCCACCCACCTCCCCGCAGCGATGGCACACTCTGGCGCCGTAGCTCCCGTAGCCTGTGAACAGGCTCTCTGTCTGGGGAAAAAAATAGCAAGGAAAGGGAAGGGAAGGGGGGAGAGAGCCTGTAGACACACGTTTGAGGCCGCTATTCCGCCCTCTTGTAATTATCTTGCCGAACATCTGTCAGCAAGATCGTTATTTGTCAATCAATTTCGCGCGTGAGTAACTCCTGGGAAAATTAAAGGGAAAACATCCGTGTTTTGCTTCGTCTCAAAACAAAGTGAAATGGACCGCGAGCCTAATTGTCGATTTTGAAAAAAATCGTTGATCTCCGGTAAGAGAATTAATACGGTGCCGGTCGTTGGCGTTTCAAGAAATAAGACCTTGCTGGTTGACAGTGGCCAAGACAGCGTTGTACTAGCGCAAGCATTTGATTGCTCAAGATTTCCTCTTGTGCAAGGAGAAAGCTTTTCCGATTTGAGCTGCTTAACTTGTGCTCATCGCGCCGTTCGTCTTGCTAGTTCAGTTTCTAATTCAACAAGCCCCTGCAATGAGCGAACTTGGAATGCGAAAGGTACAGATACTATCATGACTTCTCCAGAACGTGAACCTCCAAAGACAAGTACAAAGAAATCAACAGCGCTTCGATCGCCGACAGGAATTACACCTTTGGGTATTTATCCCGCATTTATAGCAATAAAAGAGGGCGGTAGGCCTACACGGCGTTTACCTCACGCCAAAATGCTGCCTGTTCCCATAAGTTTTTTCCTCTGCTCGGTAGATTATGCTCTGGAAGGTTCTACATTTTCACTGAGCAAATATGGTTTTAGCCGCTGGTTTCACACTGAGAGGTCATGGCATACATATCGATTTACTGTGGTTTTTGTCTCTGGTCGGCAGGATTTGCCCTCTCTGATGCAAGAGCATTTTCTTTGACCTCTTTTGAAGCGTAAAGCTTTTTATTGCGACTGAATAAGGGTCGTACTTTTCTCCAAAGTGCCCTCTGGATCTGAATAACTAAGCGATTTTCTTTAGTCCGTAAATGTAATGTTTTTCTGAAATGTTGTATCACGCTGGGCCCAGGTCGTTAGTTTTCTTTGCAGAATGTTTAAAATGATCACGGATAGTAATTTACAGATCCAAAGTTATAAGATTCAAGTGCAGCTTAAACCGAAGCTACATCAACTATGGAGAATTGCATTTTGACGCGGTAAACTCCAGCCTAGTGTTTTTCTATCCATTAGATAGTGTGAGTCTTTTGACTGGAGCGCGTAGTTCCTCCCTTGGTAATAGCTTTTGAACAAGCTTAACAGTCTTTGGAGTGTTTTGTTATTTCCAAACGCGTGTTACGTGCCGACCGAAAAGCCGATGTCAATCAGACCTTTCAACAGTCAGTGTTCTCGCCAATAAGAACTTGCATCAGGATCTGATGCACAGCGGGTGCCGTGGAACGGCGGTCCCAAAGGCTTGTCCACAGGCCTTTTCACTTTTCCCTCTCCCTAATTCCCCGCTCGACCAAAGGCCTGTTCACAGGCTATAGCTCCCGCTCCTTCCAGCCTCTGGGCTCGCCTCTTCCCATGACTCATCTCTAACCTTGGGGCGTTTGCGAGTTTGCGAGAGGGGGCTCCCGGTGAGTCCACTGTCGTCCATTCTCGTCCCCAGAGTCACTCGGCTTAATTTGTAATTCTGCAAAAAATAAACATGGCGACTCGTGGCTCATGGCTCATGGCGGACAGAAAAGGAGTTTTTAACGAATCTTTAGTTCGGGTTTTATTAATTAACGTTAACACACCAGAGACGCTATATAAAATGCAACCAGAAGGAAGAGGCTATATTTTGGCATACGCAATAGAAGTGCTCTGGGGTCGATAATGGCAGATAACGTGAAAGATATAATTTGCGACAATGTGCTCGACTTCACCAATGTTCACAGATCGACTGAATCTTTTAGGCGGTCACGGGATCGGGGATTCCCCAAAGGTGTGGTCTTGACAAGGTTTTGCTGAGAAACACCATCTTGAATAATTATATTTCACGTAAATCGCGACAACGGACAAGTGGTAAGTTGCTGTGTCTTTTGCTAAATATCGGCACCTGTTTTAGTGTGTCTTTTTGAATGTTTTAACCTCTAAACTGAAATGGTTGCTCTGAAATCATTGAAAGAACACTGGAAGGCCATATCATATAATTAAAATAGATAAACACGATGAGCCATGTGGGCCGGTTGTCTATGTTGAGCGGTGCAATGTACGTTATTATCTAGAAGGACTTTGCTCTGGTAAAAATTACTTCATTCTGGTTCATGGCCAATGTAAAACGGGTGGAAATTGGGTTTTCAACGTGTGAACCGTTTACGTGAACATTGTTAACGCTGTAATAAACGCGATAGCGTTGACGATAGTAATTCCTCGACCTACATGTGTACTAGTTAGCTTGAAATCAGCTAGATATATCTATTATCTTAAATCACAAAGGTTTTCTATACACGGGAATTTGTTTGACGGATGTACACACTGGTAAAATCTTCTAAGGTTATGTTAAACGATCCTTTTTTTTTTACACGATGTTTGTCAAGAGTTGAATTGAATTAATATACACATACACTTTAGGACTCCATTATTTTGCGGAACTATTGATTGCCCTAAATACAGAACTATAATTGAACAAGGGAACACTGGGCTTCAGTCTGCTGATGCACAGGCTTATGCAAAACATTTTGACACTGTTGTTTTATCAACGGTAAGGCAAAGTTGTTTTGTAATCGTATGTGTCTACTCATGAAAGGGTGTGTCATGATTGAGTTGTGTAATAAATGTTTATTAAATTGACGCAACGTTTTTATTAACTAAACATAGGAAAGAAATAGAAAAGGTTTATAAATTTCTCAAAATCTGTATAGTGCATGGACATGTGTTGATCTCACAAGGAAGGAGGCAGATAGAAAGAAATATAAGATTAAGTGAATACCAATTAGACAGTCAAATAGTTATTTTACATTCCATTAATTTCCTAATTACTTTTCCATGCATTTTTGCAATATTTGCTGTGAAATTTTGAAGTTTATGTCAGTACTTGTATTAATTAATATTATTAAATATCAAATAATAGAAATTATGCAGGGTTTTCTACCATGCAGTACCTGTACTAGTTTCTGAACTTTGAAGACTTGGCACAAATGAAATCATTGTATCCTAATTAAAATTAAATAGGACAGTGAAGTTCACTGTAATACCACAATGATGTTCTATATTATATATTACTTTTAAGAGCTTATTGACAGGGATGACCATATTCATTTTTTATTAGAGTTGTCAGCCAGGCAATTACTGGCAAGTGATTTCATATTTTCCCGGTTTCAATTTGGTTTGCCCAGACAAAAGTGCTGGATGATAACAGGAATGCAGCCCTCCACAAACAAATTGTTATGGGTAACAGTTTTGTCTATTTTGGAAGCTTTTTTACAGAAGTCGCAAAGCATTTTGCCCCCTGATATAGCTGTCTAGGATGTGGACTGGGACTTCCAGTGACTAAAGTCAGGGGCACCCAACGAGAATACAGTTCAAAACCACTTAAACATAGCATTGTTAAACTTTTTTAAGTATTTAAACGGTAGATATAGGCATATTTTTATCTCCTAAAAATTTTTCATCTGTTCGGATTTTCTAGCTGAAAGTCTAGTGATCCGAAAATTATAGGGATCAAAACTTACCGTTTTGAAAATTCCAGCCAGAAAAAAGGCTCCCGAAAATTCTAGGTGACCTTTTTAGGGTAAAAATCCGTTAAAAATAGGCAATTATACCATTTTTTAGATGTTCGAAAATCCTAGGAGAGGCAGGCAAGCAAGAAATTTTACAACAAATGTTCCGAAAATTCTAGATCTCAAATCCTCTACCGAACAGATATTTTCCGAAATTACGCGACAGAACATCCACGACCAAAATGCAAATGTTGTTACCATGTTGTGTACTTTAACTGCTAAATTGACACAGGAGAGAAGAGGACATCGTCTGAGAATCAAGCTGCAAGTTGTTTATTGGTTGCATATGAACTCAAAAAAGTGACTGATGGAGGCGTTCAACTGGTTTTCTCTTTCTTGATTGTCTTTCCGCTATTAAATTGAGTCGAACTTTCCGGATGTATGCCAGTTTGCTTTAGTTGAACACTCCGGTAAAATAGGTTCTGATCAAGATTTTTGTCAAACAGTCAGCCATCTAGAGTCAAGCGCAAATTTTTCTAAGTGCTGAGAGTGGAAAGCAATTTTACGTGGCACCATGCTCAAGCTCACAGAACATACAGCAAAGTCGCGAAGCCATAATTTCTCTCTTTTGTAGCTCCTGTATGAAACTTCGTTCTGTGTCTTCCGTGAGTGACTCGCGAGTGTGGGAATCTTTCAGTTCTTGTTGCTAATTCCCTGGAGACAATCTGAGGCCGCAATCTAATTGGTCGGTATTTTTTGCCTCAGATCGCATTACACCTTGCGTTTAGGATCGTTGAATGAAAGATGCAAATTTTCGTAAAAGTTTATCCCGTGGTTTTATATTATCCATGGTTTTGCTCTCGCTCCGCTCGCTAGGAAATCCATTGAGGTCTTCTAGTAACAAGTCTATGAATCCAGCTGTGTTTCGAGAAAGTGAGTTGTGGTTGTGTTTTTGGATTGCATTGTTAGAAAGTATCGAGTAAAGAACACACCACTCAGTAAGCTGTTTTGTTTGCTATGTATCAACGAAGAACAGTGGTGTTTTGCATCGTAATATTTAACTCCGTTTGATTTTCATAGAATAAATGTTATGGAGCAGCGTGGTGTTTGCGATCGACTGAAGGAAATACCTCTGCAAAACGCCGAAAATCACGTGTATAGGCACGCATCAAATCAACAAACTCGAAACACAACATGCAGGAACATACAATATTGCTATTTGTTATGGAATAGGAAAAAGGTAGAGTCGATTGAAATTGCTTTGGAGTGAAACGACTCTTTCATTATTTGGTTTCGTGACACGCTTCATTTTACATATCAGATAAAATAATATGATGATGACACATATGAACATCGGAATGTCAACCGGCTCCGATTGAATCGGCAAAGTTTTTATCCTAATCGGAAACGGCAACTGGTACCTATAGATCGGTACCGATTCCGATCAATCGGAAA